GGTATATATTCACCATCTTAACTAATATCTTTCCTGTCACTGATAAGAAATAAAGAGCATGAGCATTACATTCTATTTCGTAAATCAACTTCTTGATAACCACCTCTTCTAATTCAGGTGTTTACTCTAATATGTGTGTTGCATAACTCATATACTAAACACAGAAACCAAACTGCAATAAAATTGATACAAATTGAAACAAATTGCAGCATATATTCTTTCTTCAAATTCTTCTGAACAAATGCATATGATTTGAGATAATGCCTTCTGGCATTTTACGCATTGTGAATTTCTGTCAATTTAACAATTCAGTAACTAAATCACATTATAAGATGATTAAAAATTCAATAAAAAAGCAGTGCCTTTCAGATCTTTGCAGATCTATTTGTGACAAATTCAGAAGTGCTCACATTTAAAAAGGAGAGAAAAGTGTTTACACACTCTAAGTGGGATGAAAACTGCATACTTGATTTAATCATCTCCCAATCCATCACCGTGTTCCCCAATAACATAAATTACTATTACTCAGAATTTCTTATAGCTTTTGTTTTTGTAGTTAAAAAAAAAAAATACCATCTGCACTTGGATTTATTATAGATACTGAAACAAAGTTATGGTATTAAAATGCGTCCATGTTTTACGATAGGAGAAACCCATGTCGCTATTTATACTCCAGAACATACTGCTGTTAGAATACAAACAGTTGTTTTTGACATGTTTTCTGTCTGCCTGCTGAAAGCAAATCTTTCCAAATGTGAATCAATATCACAGTTCGAAATAACAAGTCTGACCCTGCTTTGAGTACTAAGCTGGGCAAGATGACCTCCTGAGGTTCCTTGTAACCTGAATTGTGCAACGAGTCTAACAATGTTTTACCATCTTTCAGAATTCTGTATCCTGATTCTACTTAGTGGGAAAATATTGGTGGTAGGCAGATGGTTGGACTGAATGATCTTGAGGTCTTTTCCAACCTTGGTGATTCTATGATCCTATGATTCATTACAGTTGTAAATACCTGACAGACATTCCAAACTCTCTCACGTTTAGCAATAAAACTTTAAAACAAACACCAGCTACTTCAAACACTCAAATACATATATGTTGCCCATGAGATGCTAAAACATACATTGTCAATTTATGCATTCCCTAACTTTTTCTCTCTCTCAGCAGTGGCTGGGCAGTAGTACAGCTTGAGATCCACTTTATCACGTTAGATAAACCACTTTCTGGGTATTTCTCTCTCTGTCAGGGAGTCTAATATTTAGACACCTAGCAAGATTAAGCAGACTATAACAAGCTGAGCAACAATTCAATGGACATGCTATCTCAAAACTATGTTACCAGCAGATCAACAGTGAATTGAGAATGATTCATTCCTGACATCCCGAAGCAAGAATAGGTATTCAAAAATACCCCTCCTTTAAAGACCCTGTTTCAGGGCTTGCTTCAAAACCTTGTGAAAGCTTGAAATTTTACCTTTAACTTCACTTATTTGAATCACGCTTTTGCAGCAAATCCACAAAAAGGATGCCTTAAGTATTGCAGATCTTTAATTTGTCCCCTCTCTGCCTTAAATCTAGAGCCCTGAACAGACAAGTGGCTTCTCTACGTATTGTAAGCAAAGAGTTGCATAAGGATGCATCTTATGCATGTGCCAATGGGTCAATGAAAATCATTAGTGCAACTGTCCTACCTTTTCAAGGATGAGTGGCCAAAATACCTCCAAAACCATCTTTTGTTTAACTACAAAACTACATCCCAAGCGGCCACAGAAAATGTGTGAGTGGTGCTCTTGAAACAGTGCTGCAGTGTTTTCTCTGAACCACCAATGGCTCAGAATAACATTAGAAACCACTGTCAGGATAAGAGCAAGATAGATAGAAAGACCTGAAGCACAGCACTTTGTATCAACAGTACTCAACAAGCAATAGCAGCTGTCAACTGTTCTCACAGCTCAGCTCCACATCCCTCAGCTGTGGCACTGCCAGAAAAGAGACAACATTGATAGATCTTCCCAATGGTGTTCTTTTGGGAAATGATAGAGAAGGGGTACTGTTTTGTAAAGACAAAGGTCCTCAAAAGTGAGCAGAAAATGACCACAACTTGAGTGTCACCTGGAACGTAACTGGGCAGTTATGTCCAAGGATAGAGAATCAAGTGCTGTATAACCAAGTGTCAATACAAAAAACAAACAAACAAACCAAAACAGGCCAAATTTACTATGTCTTTGTCTCAGTGGAGTCTAATTTCAGTGAGGAAAAAGATCGATTTCCCCTCTACCTCAGCCTCCAACTAGACTACACATGGCACAATGAAGGTGATATTAAGGACAAGGAGCACACCCTAAACGAAACCCAGGAAGAACTCACTGAAGAAAATGTTATATGGTGATGGCTCAGAAAAATTTTGAGAGGCTTGGCACCAAACTTTATCAATATAAACACACTTAATAGATCTGTGACAAAACCAAAATAGATCAGCAAATTTGACAAAGTCTAGAAAGAAATTTCTGGTCATTTCAAAATGACAGTCTTTTCATTTGCTTTGTGGTTTGCTACAGGTGGGTCTGGATTTTAGCAAGCTTTCTGCTATATTTGCCAGATGCCACAACACTGATTCATGGGCTGCTTGGCAACAGCAGCAAAGAAATATCTCATTCTACGGTGCATTTCAGTACAAATTTCTCAGCTGGGAATGGGAGAACAGCATCACTGAAAAGGAAACTGTAAAATGGATCTCCAAGATGCATTTAAAAAAATGCAGTTCTACTTATGCAATCTTTACTACCTATACAGATGGACAATTCACCTTTAAGAAAAGTTATCTGAACGGGACAAGGCCAATTTATGAGGCAGTTTGTCATTAGAAGAATCTGACAAAATGAAACTTCAAAGAGGCAAGATAAACAGGATGCTGACTGTACTTAGAAAGACACTCATGTAATGAACACCAACAAGCCTCTTTTGAGTCCTCTTAGAAGATCTCTCAGAACACGTTGAATTTTAATATTCACAAAAATAGACAACCTATGACAAGTTGAAATCCTTGACAACTGCAGATGTTCGTAATTTCTGCAAATGAGATGTATGATGTGACCTACTAGCTATAAAAAATTCACAAGAGAAATAATGACCATTATTACTGTTTCTTCAATGTTTGATGACATAAGACAAAGAAATGAGCATGTAAACGTCACAGCTGAAATGGTTCAGGAATCATGGTCAAACCTTCCCTATCATATTGGCATGTCTGTACCTTGCTTTGGAGTTATAAATTACAACTTCCCAGAATTATTCCACAAATAATTTAAGCAACACTGTGCTCATTACCAGCTGACAGATAAATAAATCTATTGTCAACAGAATCTTTCCACCTTTTCAAAATTCATCTTTGTTTATATCACACATTCTCTGATAATTACATAAAACATTAAAATTTGGAGGCTATGCAATCTTATCCATAATTTGACAAGCATTTTGTATGGCATACCACATTAAAAGACAGCTCTAATTTTTGCACACTTAGCCTTACATTCCTAATAAAATTTGCATAGCTAAGAAGGAAATAAAACTTTCACAGAATCACAGAATTGTAGGGGTTGGAAGGTACCTCTAGAGATCATCGAGAGCAACCCCCAACCCCTTCAATTAGAAGGACTAAAATGCTGAATTACAAAGACTATAACATGCTGAAGACTGAAAGTGAAGGTTGGAACATGAGATAAAATGAAAAGATAATCAGTTATTCATTCAGGTCAGATGGCCTGACACACTTGCTTCAGCAGCAGTTTCTACTCTAAGATTCCGAGAAAACAACAGAAAAAACCCACTAAGAACACACGTGTAGCATCCTGAAGCAACTTCCTGAAGACTGAACATAATACAGCAAACTTGAATTTCATGTCTTTTTTGCCAGCTATCATGTGAGCAACAGCTGAATGATCAGGTTGGTCTTGCATGCAAAGCATCAACTTGAGTTCAGTTCCTGGTTACCCCAGCAGGTTTATACTACTCATCATTCACTACCTCTGTTTGCTTTACCACATTTTGTCAGTGAAGTTCTCACTATTTTGTACAAGAAGTGAGGGGAGATTGCCTTGCTTTAACAAGCACTGCTCTTACGAAGCACTCAATACAAATAATAAAGCATTATGATCAAAGTATTTATCTGTAGAATTCTGTAATTAAGGGCAAAGTATTACAGTATGCAGTAATGATAACAAATTAACTACCTAGCACAAATGAAGAACAGTGTGCACTGAAGGTACAGAGGAAGTAGAAATAATTTTTGTCATGATTGTTAAACTAATTTAAAACAAAAAAAAAGACATTTTTTCAAACACAGAACATGAAAATAAAGTTTAAATGATTCACAGCATTTTTATGAATTATAGCTAAAAAAAAGCAAAACAAATTGAAAAACCACCATAAAACAAAAAATACAACAGAAAACCTAAAAAGTTTGCTTACCATACCATCAGAATTCAGAACGAACAATGATTTAGATAACACTGTTTTCTCCCTTATCTGCACATATTTGAAAATTATGCATCTCCAAGCTCTGCTGCTGGACCTACTAATATGCCCAGTAAATTCCTGAGACCATCTTTTAAGTTTATGATTTGACACTTCATAATCTCCAATATCACTTCCAATAGAGAATCTGAGGATCAGAGGTGGCTGCTCTGTCATATCCTTGATCTGGAAGACGCAAGTGCCACTGTCAGCCTATGAATAAAGCACTAAAGTAGAACAAAGCTATCACTTTTCTTCTGGAGATTACAGTATGACAAATCATAAAATGCTGCATGACGTTTAATTAATTTAACAGTTCCTTGCAATATAGTACTAAGCTGTCACACAAAATGTGAACATAAAGCATTAAAGAAAGAATTAAAGAAATTATGTTAGAAATGTGAAAATAATCTTTCATCGTGCTTATCCTGCTGTAAGCAAGAAGAAAACCAAATACAAAATACAGATAGTTGGGAAAGAACATACCTATTAACTCCTTATTTCTGACATCTAAGGCCATGTTTCGTAAAGCTGTAGCAACTGCACATACCACCCGGTCATTGTCTATTCGAAGCAGTTCTACCAGGATTGGCAGTCCTTTTTCTTTGCGGACAGCAGCACGGATATACACTGACCACTGTAAAGACACATGGAGAGCGTGGTTAAGAAAGTGAAAAATCCATTAAAGACAGTAAAGCATCTGAGGTTACAGGGCAAGGAGTGAAAGAAACATATAAACTCAAAGGAGAGGAAATAATTGCATTTATGATGCTAAGCAACCACTTGATTTGGAAATCAGCACTGATTTTTTTTTATGGTGGCAGGGAAGTTAATTGATGAATTAACTTGAATCCTAGCGCACCTGGTTACATTTTACAGCCTAAGTTCCGACTTAGGCTTTGCATCAACATTTGCTATACAATATTCCATGGCATTTTTTCTCTGCTAAAACCACAAAATTATATTATAATATATGTACTACAAAATACGTTCAAGAAGTCTAAGAATTTCTTTGTTATAATTGTAAAATCAAATATTATAAAAACATGATAATGCTTTTAAAGTTTCTCTTACGATTGCTAACTCGTTCAGAAAGAAAAATGAGACTGTTATACATCTGATTTTGGCACCTGTATTGGCCCCTAGCAGGAGTCAGTAATTCACATACCAGCTGACTCAAGCAGGAGAAGGTCTGTGCAGCGCACATACTGCTTCTCTACAAGTTGTAGCAGAGGAGCCTGTAGGTATCTCCCACCTGGCACCTGGATGACAACACTGGCACAGCCAAGTCTTTATCCGGAAGTGAAGCAGCATTTTCTTCCATGAATACTCTTTTTTGTTTAACAGCAGAAATGACGAACAGAGTTCTTATTTCTAAGAGCTCTAAATGCCCTAAAGATAGGGCATTTAAATAAAGAGAGGTGAAGGTAAAGTTCTGGAACCCCTAGGACTTTGAAATATTTCAAATATTTTAGAAACTAAGATGATAAGCCCAAACATTTTCAGATCATGGTTCCCTTGTTTTTTGACAACACCTTAACAAACAGTTATATCACACTTCAAAGAACAGTCAGATCACAACAGTGATCCTCCAGAAACAATAAGAGCAAAAACAAATTCCATGACATAAAGCATTAGAAAAAGGAAAGCACACTTATTGCCACCATGCATATGACCTCTACTTAGCATAGCTGAGGTGCTCGCTTTAGAAAGCAAGCATCTGTTTATACTGTTACAGACAGGTGCCCTGAGCAGCAAGAGGTCAGAACACATTTTACAGTAACACCAGTAGAAATAAACAGGGAATGGCTGCTATCCTGTAATGTTTAGAGCACAAATTCATTTTTTGTTATATGACTCAGAGGAAAGTGGGAAAAAGGAAGACAAATCAGCATTCAGAGAGTATTACTATATCATCTTTCTTCTGTAGTAAAGATGCACAGCAAAAACTAGCTGGCTGGACTTTGCTGTAGACCAAAGTGATAATGGTTGCAATAAGCTTTTTAGTCAGGTACATGGGATGTGGAGCTCAGCATCACTGAGCACAATAATGTAATATGTCTGAAATGTAGATGTGCCACCATTTACTGCAATGAAGTGAAGAATAGCTCTAAGGTGAAAGATAAACAGTAGCAGGATTCTTGGCTGATTGTACCCTCTGCTTCTCTGGTGCCTTCTGTACAACCAGCATACGGGGTGACTGGATACAAAACAACTAATTCATAAAGATCAGTGATTTTAACTGAAAGTATCTGCTGAAAAAAAATAATACTTTCCTGAAACTTGATTGTAATGGGATATTAAAAGACGCATTGAAAACGCCTAAGTAATTTTTTGAGCTTCTTTTTTAATAACCACATATATACCTCCCAGTTAAGTGTGCTGTCACCTGCAGCTGGGTGCACCCAGAAACTCCCATTCCTGTATTTTCTACGCCTCTCCCATGAAAGACCACCACCGTATCCACTGTGATTACATGGTGATTTCCAGCATGAAAGTTCAAGTTCACAGTGAGCCTGTTCAGTTGAAGAACTCAAGCTACCAGAGAGAGATGCTGCTACCCTTAGTAAAAGTACATCCCAGATGTAGAGCTTTTAATATGGATTATACAGGGAATCAGTAGGAGTGGTCTGTGGGTGGTTTTTCTTTTTTATATACTCCATACCAGAGAGTATCCAAAATGATTTTATTGATTATTCACTGTATTACAAAACCCTTCAGAATAAAACCTCCAAGAACAGTTTTCCTTTGCATTTTTCATTTAACTGTCAAGGGAAAACACAAGCACTTGTTTTCCAAAACTCAGTATTACAACAGACTTCTTGTTTGTAGCATTTTTGTCATATATTGCAGAAGGCTAAAAGCAGCAAGCTGAGTTACAAAATACATTAACAAATGTGTTTTTTAACCCAGGAGAGAACGAAAGACAATACAGGAGAAACAGTGAAATAAACCAAGCATGAAAAAAAGAGAATGCACACCCCCCTTTCTGAATAATTGACACGTAAGTCTTCAGTATCTGTAATGTACCAATTAATTTGATAATAGTCAATTATACAGCTTTAAAGTTCTCACATGGAGAAAAACCCAGATATAATGTTTTACAGATGGACATATGCACACATAAATAAAACAATGTGTGAGACAGGGAAAAGTATGCGTGAAACCTCTCATCTCCCCTGCACATTCCTTTTTCCCCCCAGCTCTCTTCTGAAACTGGAAAAGAGCAGTGAGAATGCCATCTGCTATGGAGAAGTTCAGAGGCTCCTCTTTGTGAATTGCTATCATTTCAGCTGGGTTTCAAGTCAGGCACCTTAGGCAGAAAGACAGAAATGCCTATTAATTGTTTCAACAGTCTCCCGAGAACTTTCCATTCTGCAAGTGCTAAGAACTGTCTGTGTCTCTTTCCTAAAACTGCCAATTAGGACAAGTCTCTGCAAGCAATTATGCTGTGCTCTGTTTCAGGAAGACTCAAATTGAGATGCCTCAAAATTGCTATTTTATTCTCTCAGAGAATGGAAAAATTGATTCACTCCTGCATATACTCATCATTCTTTTGTTTGCCTAAAGCCATTATGAAACATTCCTGCGTTTCCACTTTGCAGGTCAATTGCTAATATGAGCTCAGTGAAGTAGAAAAGAAAGAGATGAAAAATCATAAAAAAAAAAAAAAAAAAGAGACAAAGGGTTTGTTGCCTACTGGTGAATGAGGCACTCTGCCAATATACTTAATCATCCTGTTACTCCACAAATCAGTGGCAGCGTCAATGGTCAAATAATGGTTCAATCTGTACAGAGAAATGACTCCTATGGGAAGAGTGTGCACTTCAGAGTGAATAAGGAAACAAATAAGCAAACATAATTATTGCATCAGGTTGCAGCTAAATTATCAAACATGGGAGCCACAATCTGTGCAGGAATAGTATTCAGAGATAATTGAATTCAGAGGGCATAACTACTACACAGCACCTTAAAGACATCTAGAGCATCTCTATGTCCACTTTCATTAGTAGTTTTATTTATTTTTATCATGGTAATTAAGAAGAAAAATACAACAATCTGGTAAATTATTTTTTACGTTTGTCACTGTTATTATAGAAGACCATTTCTAGAGCTGCACGTCCATAGAGATTAACTACATTAGGCTGAAACTTAACAAAAGAATAAAAAGATAAGTTTGATCCAGATGAATTAAGAAAAAAAAGTAAGTATTTAACAAATGAACTCCTTTAAGCATTGCATATAGTTTTCTATATTCTCCAATGGATCACCAACATAGGAGGACAAACCAAAAATGAAGAAACGCTCACCAAAGAATAAGAAATGAGCAAAATAAACAAAACACCACCCAAGAAATACTAATAATTGAATAGTCTTGATATTTACATGCATTCACTTTCCTGCCACAGAAATCAGTGTTACTTGATTATCTCCAGAATATTTCAATCATATACTTCATTTTCAACTAGCATTTGCATTGTACAATGCAAATTCAGCGCTATGCAATTCAGCACTAAGATGCTATGACTCTGTAGAGATAACAAATGTAAAGGGGAGGTAGAAACTACAACAGGAAAGCCAATTCAGGGCAGCAAGTATGACAGGGCAGGCTAAACTACCAATAGAACCAAGCAGATTAGAGAGAGGACAGGTTTGCTAGGTGGTATTAGCCCATTAATTTCCTTCTGCACTGCGATCTTAGTCAAGCTCTAAGAGAAAGGAAAAATGAGGTAGATAAACACTTCAAAATAAACAAAATATTAAAATGCTGTGAACAGAGGATAACTTAAGTTCAGAAGGAACTGCCCATTGCATCCTGTCATCCTTGGTTCTGCAGTACGAGCATGTAATTTGTACTCAAATGATCTAAGAGCCATTATAACGACTTTTCTAAGCACTGGAAACACTGTCCAAGCCTATCATTATAAATGAAAGGCTTTAAGACAAAAGTGGTGTACCTCATATAGTACAGTAACTTACTGTACTTGTATTTCTGTACTGTGTCCCTATTCACCAAACTGACCACCAAGCTGATCAGCTCATGATGTCTGTGATACAGCTGTTCCCAGCAGCATGTTTCCTCAGTATCATCTAGACCTTTGAATACTGTCCTCCTCCCTGCAGAGCTAATACACGTTTCTCTGTGCTAACTGCTGCAGCCTCATACGTGCGGGGTTCCATCTAGGTTAAGAATGTCTGCTAGATTAGTGCACTGATTCTTCCAAAAGGTGCCTCCAGGGATTTGCTGATGAATTACAACAAGTGGTGTTCTCCACTCTACCATAAAAGAATTCATAATAGAAATATTTTGAAGAAAAGAAACTAAGGTCTTTTCACTGGAATCCAGAAAACATCCTCCTCAAACAGCCTGATGAAACTCTAAAGGAATAACATGACTAATTATTTGCATCAGAAAAGCCTGGCAGGGAACTCACAATATGGCCCAGCCTGATAAGAAAAGATTGATAACCTAGATGTCTGCTACTTTAGACAATAATTATTCACTATCTGCAAGAGTTTGGAAGGCAAGGCACTCCAAACATCTTTCTTTTTACTCTTTGAAGTAGTAGCAGTGAGTTTCTGACTGCATCAGTCCCTTTTATGTTTTCAGTTCCTTTATGTAATAACTTATTAGAGCTATTGCTCCCATGGGACTTAAGATTTCTTCAGAATGGAATTAAGAAAATAAATGTAGTTGCTTGCCTAAAGAATGAAGGCTGGTATCTCATCTAGCTATCTTAAGGGATTAGACCACTGACCCAGAAACACCCATTCACACGGATATTGTACCAACTGGTAGTCAAAGGCAGGTGCATTCCATTGTCTGCCCAAAAAACATCACTATTCCCTGCTTTGTATGGTAAAACAGGACAGGGGAAGGAAAAGAGGCAGAAAAGAACCAACTGAGGAACGCTTTAGCCTTACGCTCTTTCAAGACTTACACAGAGCATCACTTGTTCCTGGTTTTGCAGAGTGCAAGAGACTAACAGACATTCAGGCAAATGGAGTCTGCCATCCCACCACTAAAGCTGACACAGCAAGTTTGTAAAGCCTGCAAAGCAACTGAGAACGAAGGCCGGGCACATGGCAGGGATTGACCATGGCTCAGAGTAGGTGTGCTACCTATTCTAATGTAAGAGCTTATGTTGCCAACAGGTACGCTATGGATCTTGTTTCCTAGCTTTTAAAGGTAAGCATTACTTATATAAATTATGGTGGCATTTTAAAACAAAGCAGTAATATGAATGACTGAAAGAGTTTTTTAGAGTTTAGCAAAACCAAGCACATTATGCTCCTGGTGGCAATGTTGTTTTTAACTCCATGCAACAGAGAAGATAACATTGCAGGAGATGTTCAAAGCAAAAGAAATGTGACTGGTAGACAAATTGACAACAGCCTAAATTTAGCTGTCACATACATAACAGACAAACACAGAAATACACAGATATCTTAATATTTCCCTTCTTTCAGTGAGGGGAACTTTGTTCAGAAAGGACATAATGTCAAAAAGCCAAGGTTAAGTATTAAACTATTTTAACTTCCCAAATGTTCAGCAGATTTAATGTATTGATAGCCTATTGACCAAGGTGAAAATTAAAGAGAACTTGCCACTTCTATTCCCACCATCCCAGGAAAAGAACCGATGCCAGACAATATATACAAAAAAATAACTACAGATTTCTTTTACAAGACAGGTCTTGTAACATGGTATCTCATAATTTCTGATATCCAAAGTACTAAAATAATGATACGAGATTGAAAACAATTCTTAATGAGCAGACAAGTTTCTTCTGGACAGAGCAGACAGTCCTCTTATTTCTATTTGTGCATTCTCCAGAAACTTGACAAGCTAGCAGAGCTCCCAATTAAAGTGGAGGTAAGTAAAGTCTTCACTGCATCCAAAGGCATGCCTCAAACCTGATTTGCTCAAGGAAAACTATAACAAAGTTTGATGAGAAACACACTTGCTTTGGTCTTTATGTCCTTTCCATAAGCAACCTTAAGTATATAACCTATTAAGTATAACTGAAAATGTATGAAGTGTAATTAGTCTATTTTTGGAAAAAAATGTATTTAAGAGTAGAAATTAAAGAAAGCAAAACTAAAACCAATAGCTTTTTTTTTTTTTTTTTTTTTTTTTTTGGGGTGTTGCTTCTCCTGCCTGCAGGAAGTTTAGGGTATGGGGAAAACAACGTGGATGTGAATCAATGGGAGAGAATGCTCTGGAAAGCAGCAAGTCCCCTCAACAGAAATCCACCATTATTAACATCCAATTATTCATGTAGTTTTCCATGAAAGAAACAGGTTTGTGTCCTTCAGATTCCAGCACCAATGTCCTTCCTACATAGTAGAGTCCCAGTGAAATAGTGAGATGAAGGAACTTCCATACTCACAACCTCTATTCTAAAATGAATCCTTCTTTCTGTATACTATCAATCTATTTTTCAGAACCAAAATATATGTAAAAAAATCAAGATAGATATTTCCCATTCCAAATTAAGGTTTTGCACTGAAAATACCCTTCCTCATACCTAAGGTCAAAAACATTTTATTGGCAAACTTACATTTGGACTGGTTAGTTGATATTTTCTTTATTCATTTTCTTTATGCTTATTTTCTTTATTCATTACAGAGTGTTTGGGTTCTAAGTATATACTGCATCAATCATTAAAAAATATCAAGTTTCTTTCTACAAACTGGTAATATGCACAGGCTTTCAGGCAATAAGACTTTGATCCAAAGTGTTTTGTATTAACACAGGAAAAATAGTGCAGAAGTACATTTATTTTCCACACTTTTTTTTGCCCAGTGTTTGTCTTTAGGAGGAATTCCTGTAAGTGAAACAGTGTTCAAGATGTCCTATAAAGTAAGATTGATTATGTACCTTTGTCAACTTTATGCCTATGTATCAGTGAAAAACTATCTTTCCTGCTATTAATCCTTAAACCTATGCTGCTTTCCTCTTGCATCTGAAATTTGAAAGAAGTAGTCTAGGGGAATTAGACACACATCATCTGTTCATTCCAGTGACAGACATTTATCTAAATTCCTTAGGCAATTTTATTTTATTTTTTAAATTACTCCAGGCTTCTTTTTATCTTCCCACTTTCCTCTCATAATTGCATTGGTTAAGCACTGCCTATTGAAAGTGTTACCTCTTTGTTACTGAAGATTTTGTCAGTTTTATACCAGCGGAACCAGAAGGGCAGAAAAGCCAGAAAAGAGTCATACAAGTATATGAAACATGCATATATATATGTACACATTATTATTATTATTATTTTACAGATGAGACTATCTTCAGAAGTATTTAAACATGCCTGGTGTACCAGTTACTTCATGTATTCTAGTATTCTTCTAGTGTTGTAATAATGCTGCTTAGAAAAAGAAAATACAGCACTGGAATTGCTGTTATTATTAACTGAAGCATTACCTACTTTAACAAGGCTTACTCTTGTTAAAGTAGGTTGCTCTTTTTGCTTTATCATAAAGTACTTCTTGAAAGATTAAAACAAAATAATTTCCTATTCATTATACAATTACAATTTCTTGTAAGAACTCAAAAAATGAAAATCTCCCTTAGGAATAACCTCTTATTTTAAGAGCCTGCTATCTTTTATTTCAGTCATCTTCTATCCAGAAGACTGTAGCAGTGGAAAAGAGAGGTCAAAAGGTGGAAACATCAATGCTTATGTAATCCCCAAAGAGGATTACTCCCCTCCCAAAAATGGCTGGTATGACACGTGAAATTAAGGATATTCATTTTGTGCCTGCACATTACTTGTAATAGTATTGGCAAATCTTTAGAAAAATAGAGCAAAAAGAGAATAACTGAGCTTTTCCCATGGTATCAGCATAGATGGTATTAAAGTTCAAATCAGTTTTTCTAACACATCACTTGCCAAAGAGCTCTGTGGAGCTCTTTTTTCGTCTCTGGTCCCCTGTATATATCTGCCAATTAAGGGATGACAGATACAGATTTATTAGAAATAGGAGAGGGCACTGCTTCAATTTTTGCACTCCTTTTAGTCCTGGCAAATATACATACATTCCTCCCTCATTTGGACCAGGGATACACCCATCCCCAGATGAATAAAAGACATTTACTGTGTTTCTGTGCCAGGATTATGAAATCATCTGGTGTAGTCTATGGTAAAAAAAAATAGTAATATTGGTTTTCAGGCAAAGTTTTCATAGCACTTTGTAGGACAAAATCACTGCACAGAGACTTTGTTGCCTGCTCCATTATGTCACTGAAAGCAATAGTCAAACTTATAAAACAGCTTGGTGGAACACCACCAAAAATCACATCTCTTAGAATCTGCTGAGTGTGCTAACTCAACGGTCAATAAAATTTTATGGAAAAAAGTCACTCACTGGCCTCAGGGCTAGTATTTCAAAATTAATTCTTACTGAAACTGGTACTTAAATACCTAGCACATATGAATGAGTGAATGATGAAAACGAAAAATGACTCCTTCTGAGACCTAGCTTTGATAACTGCAGACCCCCATACATGTGAGTTTTCATAGTAAATGTGAAAAATTCCAACAGAAAGTAAAATCAATACATTACTTTTATTCAACAGGATTAGACAGTCAGCACTTTCACCCAGTCAGATCACTTCATTGCCAGGAAAGGGATGAAGAAATTGCCATAAAAGTAAATCAGGCTCACCAACTCTCACATTTTAGTGATTTATTCTAAACCCAGGAATATTCTCAAAATCTAATAAATATATTTTTTTTTCCTCAATACACTGTAAATAATTGGAAAGGGAAAACTTGATCTTCTGACTGCAGTTCCAAGCTGGGCTTAGCTGGAATACAGCATATCGACTGAGCATTTTCCCTGCCCGTTGTACACATTTAATCATTACTGATGTATTTTAATCATTTTTATTTTTATTTTTTTTTAATAGATGGCAAGATTACTTGTGTTGGTGTTACTTGGTTTATATTTTGCTATGCTCTTGTCTAGTTTCTCCTAAGAGACAAAATGTAAACCAGTTTCTGCAGTGACAATGCAAAATGGTTTCATTTTACTGTCACTGGTGATATTTTGACTCATTTCCATAGCTGCATGTCCACAGATTCATAAAGATGCTGCTTCTTGTCATTTGGATATCGGTTTTCAACATGCATTTTTCATTCTTGACCAACACAATTTTCACTGCTGTATGACAACTTTTCCCACGATTATCAATTCAGAGGACTTAAAATGCTATTGGAAACCTTACTACAGATAGTTCTGTGAAAACAGAGAGGTATTCCAATAGAAGGAGAATTTAGACACAGTTGTAGCACCAATTTGATGTCATCCATGAGGAATTTCCAATGAAAAGAAAGGCATACCAGGTCAGTATTCTTACCTTCCAACTCCCAGCAGCCAAATTCTGCAGTGCCCCTGCTGCTCCCTCCAGCGTGTCTGGATTTGAGCACTCAGAAAGAAGTGTGAGGTAGGGTTTGACTATTGAAGGGTGCCACAGCATCTGGATTCCTTTGGGTGGTTCTGCACAGTCTGGGAGAGGTCCCACTCCATCCCACTGTCGGAAAACACAAGACAGACTGTCAGCAAGGATCAGTGAAATACTGAGAGTTGTCTCAGCTGACCCTTTGTGTGCATGTAGGTAAGCAGTCACTCTTTACAGCATATCAACCTGATTATTTATGGAGAAACCAAACTCCACCAAGTTTCCTACACAACAGCTAGGTGACATAATGAAAACCTTCAGTGCATGTATTCCTTTGGTTAGGAATAAAAACCAATTGAATAAAAACATACCTTCAGAATTAGAAACTAGAACTTGCACAGGAAAAGATCTGAAGTTCCCTGCAATTTTTCTTTTCATGAAAGGGAAAGTCAACAAGAACCACCACTATGGAAACCTAAATCATTCAGGTAACATAAGCATTCAATCCCTTAACAAGTCCTAGAGCACGACTGCAGTGCACATCATCCCAGCCATACAACTTCTGACCTCCCACTGCAGGCATCCTCAGGCAGCCAGCCCACTGCTGGCAACCTTCAGGTTCAGATTCTGATCTGTTTGGTACAATCACTTCTCACATACCACTCCAAAACAGGCAGTAATGAAGCCTGGACAACAGGGTGGATATTACATAAAGAGCCACACCTACTGATAGGTGTGAACAAACTATTCCATGAGAACAGTGATTTGTCTTTCTCCTGAAATGCACAGAACTTCCACGTAGGCATGAAACATCTTAAAAAGAGGAAAATTCAAAGACCACTCTTACTTTCAAAAAACAAAAATTAAGTTCTGCAATACATTTTTAATGATATTTTAAATATGTTATTTTTATCTACATATGCTGCAAATTTCGTATTGTGCTTTGTCCTGGTTTGTATAGATAAAGGGATTTAGAAAACTCACAGCCTTAATACCTTTGCTAAAACCAGTCCTTGAATCTTCAGCACAGTCTTTTTTCAAAACCTCTGGGGCCTACAGATTTCATGATATGGCACATAACAGTTTTAAATACCTTGAGTTAGAACTTATTGTGATTATGCAGATATGTATTGTAACATTAAATATCTACTAGACATGCAAAGATAGCACATGGCAAATTAATTCCTTGTTTAGACCTGTAACTATTAATTTTCCTGGATGATTTAATCAGTTATGACTCAAAGCAACAACAATAATTACATTGAGAAAGACACAGATTCTCATTTTCAGAACATCACTACAGTTTTATTTAAGGTAACTTTAGACCTAAAGGACAGTGAAGCCTTATCCAATACCCTCTATAACACCTTAATCAAATGTAATCAAAGTTTTGATTGATTATTACTACTGAGTATCAGAAGCACTTTTTTTTTTTTTTTTTTTAAATTGAAGTAGAACAAACACCAAAAAGAAAAGGTAGTGGGATCACTTTATCACGGCCTTCCAGTACTTGAAGGGACATATAAACAAGAAGGGAAAAAACTGTTTACATGAGTTGATAGTAACAGGACAAGGGGAAATGGTTTTGAGTTCACACAGGGGAGGTTTAGGTTAGATATTAGGAGGAAGTTTTTCCACACAGAGGGTGGTGACACACTGGAACAGGTTGCCCAAGGAGGCTGTGGATGCCACATCCCTGGAGACATTCAAGGCCAGGATGGATGTGGCTCTGAGCAGCCTGGTCTGGTGGTTGGCGACCCTGCACATAGCAGGGGGGTTGAAACTAGATGAACATTGTGGTCCTTTTCAACCCAGGCCATTCTATGACTCTATGACTGTTTAATACCAGAAAGTTGCTCAGATATAAGACTTACTACAGCAGATACATGTTACCAGAGTTTAAGAGACCTGGCACAGCAACATCACAGAAACAAGATGAAAATCGCCTTTTAAAGAAAAAATCCCTTTAAAAGATGATGCTGCAGGACTTTGATTTTTTTTTTTTTTAAATACATTTCTGCCATTAAACCACTAGGTTGATTTCACTGTATGTGATTCAGTTCTCCTTTTTTCTCCATATAAATAATCACCACCCTAGCCAGAAGTGTCCTTTCACCTACCCATAAAAATACATTACAATCTGGTTCTTATTTTAACTCTTGGAATTTATTCATTTGCACTGTCATAATTTTTTGGCAAACAAGTGAAAAAATCTGCCTTACAGGTCAAATCCAACTTCACACCACGTTTGGGCCTTCTACCTCAGTAAGATCCTTTATGATCAACTTGTGATGTCCAAGGACACAACTTGAGATCTTTATTCCTCCAATTCTGATTTGCACATGTCATGGAAGCATTACACAATTGAACAATGCCTGCAGAGTGTATTCATTACACTATTTCAGGAACAATATACTTATGTATCAAATGCATTAGGTCTACCCAATATATTTTTGTGCACAAGAGATGTAACTTTTTTAAAAAACTCAAATACTTACAGTCACATAATCCCATGGACTGCTGAAAATTTAGAGAAAATCAACTGATATAAATAGAGCTGTACTGGTACATGTAGAGCACCAGGAATCATAATTGCACAGAAATTAATATTTAATGTGGCTTTGCCATTCTACCCAGTAATGACAAAACACTTGTAAAAACGTGTGACAAATTATCGCCTTTACCTGCCATTCTTGCTGCTATCTTTTGGTACATGATGATTATCTTAATTCATCACTGACTAAGGGAGTTTTCTCCTGTCTGTGGAAAACCTTTTTCTCAACACCACAATGCCTCAGAGCCATGGTGAGGGTTGAAAAGTTTGGTGCCATGTGTGCAGCGAGGAAGCAGTAAACACAATAATGTTGCAAAGCCTCTTGTACTACTCTTCAGAGTAAAAGCTTGTGACCAGAGCAGCTGCATGGCATGCTGAAATGCAAGCCATGCATGGCAGATGTGCTGGGCCTCAGGCAGCTTTAAGGTCACACAAAAAGGTGCTCCTGTAGCCAGTTCCTGGTCCTTGCTGGGACACAGAGGGTACAAACAACTATGACTTCTCATGCACCTCCTATCTTCACACCTTAGCTCTTTGCTCCTGCACAGGTGATCTCAGCTGAATTCTCAATGAAAGGCTTTCTTTTGCTTTTGCCTTCTTCCTTGCAGAAGAGACCAGTGCTTGCAGCCCTACAGCCCAATTGCTGCATGGTATGCAGGGTTAATACTGGTCAGAAACAAAGCTACTGCAAAGACTTTTTCAATCCTCACCCATTTGTTCTGTATTCCATAAATAAAAACATCAAATGCCTGAACCAAAACAAGGTGATTTTCTCCAAATTATATTACAATACATTTTCTCAAACGATGGGTAAGACATGGCAGAAGCTACTTTGTAGCTCACCTTGCTCAGTATTAATGAGCTGAGGCAGCGTGCTAAACGACTCTACCCAGTGAATTACTTGAACAGTCACTGTGTTGTTGCAGACTATCAGGAATGATCAATAAGGTCTATTTGAGATAGGCTGTGGATGTGGTATGAACCTTTGAAAAAGAGAACAACTGTACTCAATTACTCTTCCAAGCTTATTCTAAGGAGAAAGCAAGTCATAAACAAGTATTCCTTGCAGGCTTTCCTGCTTCAGCTGAAATTGCCCACATATATTGTGACTGAAGCTGACAAACTGTTTGTTATGCGGGTGAGATACAAATCTCTCATTTCCTGAAAATGTTGCAAAGAAAGGATGAAGGTAAAGGAATAAAAAGCTGAATATGAAGATCTTTAAGAACAACATACTTAGGAAAGTGAGAGTACTCTAAAAAAAGCTTTCAAAGTTTTCATATTACTAAGGAACTTTGAGAGAAGAAAAAAATCACTTACGGAGGTGTTCCTCAACACCCTGCAACAGACAATCACCTTCTTCCTCATTTTAATAAAAGCAAACCAGTGTTTATAGTGAAATTGTACTGAATACCAGGAAAAGGCTCAACTCAGTTGATGCAATTACAATCTTCGGCATCTAACTACATCTTCTCTTCACTGGTCTCCATAGAGAGCTGGAACTAGTGGGCTTTGCACTATATTTCACAAATTGACAAATCCAAAAATCACATTTAACGGCCCTGCAAGTTTTGACTTTGAAAACAATTTGGTCATACATGATATTGAGTGATCCCCACGGCTTATGTGCATGCAAAGAATTTAGAAACAGAAGTGCTGAAAGGAAGTATTCAAAATAGATTTCTTGCTAAACAGCACCTGGCAGAACCACCTCATGAAAGACAAGGAAATAACAAGTGAAAATACATTTCTGAAGCACAATATACAAGTAATAGAGGTTTTCATCCCCCCCAATTGGCTCCAGTTATTAGTGAAAAAAACAGGAACTGCTGCCTATTTTCTGTTTCTGTGCTTTATAATCTGGTATTCAACAGTACAGTATTGAAACATGGTTGGCAGAACAGCGGCCTCACCATACGAAAAGGCATTATTTCAGATTTATTCTTTATTCTTTTTGAAATATTATCATCTTAAACCTGAAATTTCACCTGGCTTCTTCAATCAGCAAAGATACCTTACAATAGAAAGTTAAATGGCAACTTTACTGCTATAGAAGGATTTACAGCCCATTTACCTAGCATACTAAAGATGTGTGCCAGTCAATTCATAATGCTATATAACTTGAAGTGTTGCTGTTATATCTTAAGGCTCCTGACAGAAGGTGAAAGAGAAGGGCAGGCTCATTTCACAAGTGCCACTTCCAATCAAAAGGCAGCTCTAGGGCTAGATTCTGGGCTGACGAGCGTTCACAGATGAGGAATTTGAGAAGAGCACGAAGCCAAGAGGTAAACCTGTTTCTTCTTTGTGAGGAAAGGAAAATAAATGAAACAGTGACACATGTGCACATAATGGGCTGCATAACAAGAACTAAAATAAGGATTAATGACAACTCCCTGGCCCTTTTACTGAAATTGGATAACATACCCAATTTTCTTAACTGCTTTCTGTCATAATTCTTGTTTCTCACACAGCTTAAAGAACAAGCCCTTGGCAAAACAGTGAGAATACTAAAAGCAGTAACAAAGCTTCCAGAGGTAGAGAAATTCTGTTTGGAAAGTGGCAGGACACGAGGCAGAGACACTGATGTGCCTACTATGCTCAGGTCTGGGAGGCAGCCCTCTATAGCTGAGGAGCTTTGTGGGGTGAGAACTCAACCAGTTAACAGCTGACCATAAAGAACGTACAATTATGGCAGAACAAACTGCAGCTCTCAGTATTTCAGTCAAATACAGACAAGTACATCTCACAACTCCTGAAGCCTCCACTGAAGTTTTGCTTCTATTTTTTATTATTTTTATTTTTTTTAAACATTGATACTATGTTGTGCATGGCTTTTAGCGCAAGTATTTAGAAGGTCTGAGCTTTTTCTGCAGTTAAACTTCCATGACAAAGTGACATATAAGTTAGAGAAACTGCAGTAATTGTCTCCTATATTATGAAACAAAGAAATTAACTTTTCTTTCTTTACAAGTGAGAAGCAACCTCATCATTAAAGGAGGTTTCCCCTTGTTTTATGGTTTAAGAAATAAAGCTCCCTACGCGTGCATAGGATTAATTTCTCTTAAAACAGAAAACTAGAACTTCAACCACATGCTACATATAAAATTGTAAGTTTGATACTACTGCCCAATTTCAGTACTCCCACTACTATAACTTCTTAGATAATTTGTATACTTCAACTTAAAATTAATGATCACCCTACATATGTCTACACTGGTCACTTTAGAGAGAATTTGTGAAAATATACTCTTGAGAAACTAACTGAAGAACCAAAGTAGTATACTGTTACAGGAAAATCCCACAATTACATTCATTACAATCTGAACATTTTCCCCACATTATGAAGTGAACTTAATCTTCTAAGAGAGACAGTTTCATTACACAAACTGCTGCCAGAAAAGAAAGATACTATACCAGTATCAGCACATGTTCTCCGGAGACATAAAACGTAGCAGGCTGCAGAACTGGACATGACTTCCCTGTACTGCAGCATCACGATGCTTAGGGCCATCCCTGGAGGTGTTTAAAGCCAAGCTAGATGCGGCCTTGGGCAATCCAATCAAGCACTTGATCTACTGGCTGGCAACCCTGCCTGTGGCAGGGGGGTTGGAACTTGATCCTTGGGGTCCCTTCCAACCCAAGCCATTCTGTGATTTTATGATGCAGTGTGCCTATGTTCTGCACTTCTTCTAACATGACTGGCTAAAGTCTGAAGAATACAAAAGGAAGCACAAATACAAAAAACCCACTGGTTTTTAAACACTGAACTTTTTTTTTGTATCTGTAAATAACCAATACCATGGAGCTTAAAAGAAGATACTTCCGTGTATGCCATGAACATCTCAGGCATTAAAAAATGCACTCCCAGCCTATACAACCTACCAAAATTCATCTGATGCCCAATCTAGAAGCATCTGGGTAAGCAATTATTTTTATACCCATCTTTTTCTCAAATTTCTTCCCAAGGATTTCAACTTCAGTGTCATGCTTTAAGTGTTTCAGGTATTTTCAATTATCATATCCTACGAAGACTCCATTGTTCATTTATAGGTAAAACAGTGTCCATTGCCAGCATGCTCTTCAGAACTATATTATGACATATTTAAGAGGATAAAAGCTTCTCTGCTGAGGCACTTAAAGAAATGAGCACTCTAAATACAGCATCCCAAGAAGAGCAGGAGATCTGTTCTGATGGATAGAATGAGCAGCAGGTAACAGCTTAAGCACTGAAATTGAAAAGAGATTATAAAAGGCATTATCTGAAAAACATTAAGTCTTGCAAAAAAACCTGTCAGATTACTGCAAAAGAAAATGTTCATGTGTAAAGCACAGTGCATCAGTCAGCATGCTGGGTGACAACGTATCATCAAAGGACACCTGAAAAATATTCTCCTGGAAGCTGCAGAAAGAGTAAATAAGTTTGATTTGGATGGGGTGAATTCTGCCTATACTGAGAAACACAAAACAATCCAGTTGTAGAAGGTTCTTGCAAGGCAAAAATAACCTCTACAACACACAGGAATATCTCTTTCTCTTTACACACACAAACCCAGGAAATCCAGTCAACCAGGCTGTGACCGAGCATAGAAAAGAACAACCTGGATTTCCATTCAGTCTTAATTTTTAGTAGTAAAGAATGTATCTGGATCCTGAAAAACTGTTCAGATGAAAAGGAGATGAAAGAAAAAAATATTAGAAATACTATTCTAATGTATCTAAGGTAAAGTGGTCCTGAGCAACACAAAGTTAGCTTTAGAAAGGGGAATTAATTTCCTTACTGCAGGAAGTCCTAGTGAATGTAAGCCCGAGAACACGTGCACAATTTTATTATTACTATTATTTTAATATACTAAACCATTCAATTTGACAAACACAAGCAGACCTGAAGATGCTTCTTCTATGCTGCATACTGATAATGAATGATCAAAGAAACAGGCAAAGTGTACCTAAAGGAAGGCAAAAGCCGGTACATTGTAAAGGAAATCAACCAAAAGGCCTAGAGGAGAAGGAAGATAAGTTCTAAGGAATCTTTAAAATAGAATGAAGTCTAATAAGAATGATGAAACAAAAGTAGCCCAAAATCCAGAAATTACAAAAAGAATGGGGAAGATGTAAAAGATGAGAAAGAAATGTAGAGGGAAAATCTTCCTAAATAGAGCATCGGGAAGGAAAGGGCAATTACAGAAGAACACATTAATATCCAGACATGATATTTTTGTTTTGGCTCTTTTGATAACCACAAGTACAGTGTGAGAACTGTTAAAGTAGGAAAAGGGACAATGACTGCTTCATGGGAAAAGGGGAAGTGGCCATAAACTGGAGCATAGGAAGTTCTGCACCAATATGCAAAAGAACTTCTTCATGGTGAGTGATGGAGCGCTGGAACAGGCTGCCCAGGGAGGACATGGACTCTCCTTCCATGGAGATAGCAAGATCCACCTAGATGCCTACCTGTGCAGCCTGCTGTAGGGGGTCTGCTTTGGCAGGGGGAAGTGGACTCAATCTCTGGAGGGCCCTTCCAACTCTGACAATTTTGTGATAGCTTGCTTTACCACTTTCTAACCCCACTGTAGCCTAACACTGGAATCCCAACAAAAAGTCATAATAAATACAAACTATCTGATGACTACAGTGTTTGACAACAAGAGCAGGTGAAATTAAAAGTCTTACCAGTCACTAGAGCTTACTAGTCACAAGAAATTGAATCTTAGCTTATATTACTCTAACTCTTCCATATTAATTGATGCTGCCTTTATGAACTGAGTATTTTCACTAATCGTTTATATCACTTATCCAAATACCTTGTCTGCCTAACTGCTTACTCAAATGAATATAGCCTTTAAATAGTCTGAAAGAGAAATACGTGGTAATGGAAAGAACTAAATCTGTTAAAAGAAGCACCCGTAGCTAGAAGAAGTCCTTGAGCCAGTAATCATTCTCAATGCTACTCTGGGTGTTTACTGATACAACAGTGATACAACACGGTGTGTAATATTATTAGCAGCACTCTTCAGCTTTTTAGTCAGAAAGAGAAAGTAATGAAATAAACACAATTTTACATAAATGCACAGTAACGTGACAGAAAGCACAGCAATGACAGCAGAGTAGCAAAGCTCTAGACTATAGCAAGTGAGGACTTGCTCTAATGCAACAGCCATAAAAATAAAGGAAAGAAGCTGCTTACCTTCAGAAGGCCTCAGGTAGGCAGGGATCTCCAGCAAATAACCCTTGCCTCCACTGCCAACCCTTAAATGAGGTCTGGGAAGGGGTGGATCCACCCCTTCTGGTCACTCAGGTGCATTGCATGCAGCTGAGTTCCCCTGGGTTGGCCTTGCCTTCCCACCAGGTGCTCAACCACTGGGTTAAGCTGTGACTTAGCATTTCTGCTACATGAATCTAAAACAAAAGCCCCTCAGATAACTTAAGAAAATTATCAGGACTGTAATTTCCAATCTTTGGAAACAACATTAATTACACAAAAACATGTGTGTTTTTTTCACATTCACTCACACAGCTTAATTTAGTTCTATGCAGTTTTCTCTTAAAATGCAGAAGCAGAATATGAAACTAATTCTGAAACAAATACACATATATAAATTGGTCAAGCACTGGAACAAGATGCCCAGCCAAGTGGTAGAGTCCCCATCCTTAAAGATGTTCATGAGATGTGTGGATATGGCACTAGGGGACTTGGGTTAGTGATGGGTGTCAGTAGGTAACAGTTATGCACATTATGTCCCATGTGCTTAATGTGCATTAATTACATCTCATGATACAATAATGATATTCATGATGGGCACTCCAATTACTTGCAATACAACTGCAAATGTCTTTCATTACCTGATCTTGTGATTTCTTTTTCTTCTTCTTCTTCCCCCAGCATCCTGAACTCTCTGCATCTTTTCCATTGGCATCACCACAGAGTAATCCATCAAGTTCATCTGTTCCCATCTGCTGTCCCTGAGATGTTTCTGCAGCTAGCCTGTATGAGAGGTTCCTCAAAATGCACACACAGTTTTCAACGGTCTGAAAAGTATAAGAAAAACCCAAACAACAAACAAAAGAAAAACAGAAGTTGAAATACTTCCCTTTCTCACTCTGTATACAAAGCAGATGCAATATAATTGATCTTTCCAGATACATTTTCCCAGTACAATACTTATCTGCTCATTTATGAGTACTCCCTTGGTAACCATTGCTCAAGAGATTTAGAAAATCTGGCAAGGTATCACACACTCTTTTATGGGGGAAAAAAGCCAACACAACAACAAACCAACAACAAAAAAAACCAGTCTGGGCAGTATTTTTCCATGGGATTTTTATTGTCATTCTGAACTTCAAAATGGAGAAAATGACATGAAATGAAAGTGACAATGGTTTTGTGCGTGCGTTGGTTTAAAGGCAGAAATAACACTTATTTCTGCCATCATATCTATGGTAATTGTCAGAAGAAACGGCTTCCAAGTTCTGTTTCAGAAGTATTTGTAGCATGAACAGGCTATGTTTCTGGAGGCCAAAAAGCAAGACTATGAATTTCAGTAATCTTGATATTTTTACTTTTAGCTAGGCTGCAAATAATTGGTGGACAGCTTTTCTCTCCTATGTATTTGTCCTCTAAATAGATTGGGTCTTCCGTAAAAGATGTTGCAGGGAATTCTGAAGCAGATTTAGACCCAATGGAAGAAAATGATGGCAGTGATAATTCAGCATAATTTCTGCAAGTCTAAAAGAAGTTCAGTTTTAGACTTGTTCGAATCCTATTCATTTAGTTGGTTTGATTTGGTTTTGCTATCTGCTTCAAGAATAATCTGCACTTAATTTTATGAAGGCATGGTTAAGAAAAAGTCATTATCTGTCTATATCTATTTCAACTGTTCCTAATGTTCTATGAAGACAGAAGCTACATTCCAGCTCTGCTGCTCCACTAACCCAGAACAGAGTGAGTATGAGGTTTCAGCTCTATCCTACTCTGCCATATTCACCAGCCAGGCAAGCAGATGGAGCTGCATTTACTTCCATGAATTGAATGAGCTTATGCCCTGTAATATTTGGCACAGTTTTTTAGACAGCAAAGAGAAGGTATTAAACATCTAGACAGGACTTTTTTTTTTAAGGAATGAAACTTCAAATTAAACTTGCACTGATTTGAAATCTCCAGCCAAACATACAAACACATACATAAAAATATACAGAAAAATGCAAAAACTTCTAATGCTTCCTTCCTACCTGAAAGCTATGACCTTGTAGTGACCACAATATTTTTTTAAGTTTACTACCTTAAACTTATCCTTAACAGTTCCACATTTGAATTTTATTGACTTGTGCTAATAATTACTTCTGTACAACTGCAACTTGCTTAAGTTGCAGCTTTGTGTTGATTAAAGTTTGACATTTTATTGCCCCTTTGTATGGATATCAATTTTCACACTTTAAATTCTCATTCTGTAAAAAAACCCACAGTTTTAACTGAGTCTACTACAAGGACAACATTACCTTGCAGTAGAAAGTGATAATGCCTCAAATGCAACTGACACCTTTGCCATTTGGATGAACTCATACAAGACAAGAAGTAGGTTTTATTCTTTCTGATTTGTAGCTCTGAACTTTCAAGGGACCTCACGTTCCTCTTTCCTACAGATATTTCTAACATTTCATCATGAATGGCCACTAGATTAAAAAGTGATTTAGAGGCAGTTATTCAAATATTGGGTTTAATTAAAATCACTTTCAGCTTTGGGAAAAGGATGCAAGACCTATGGCTACAATATGGTGTTTTGCATTTAGCAGCACAAGTGCTTTATGCCACCATAGTTAAAATCCAGCTTGACAGGAGGTTAAAACTACTCAGGCAGGGAGAATAATTCTTCTCTCATGTCCTCATTTTTTCCTCTATATCACAGCCTACAGATTTTACAAAGTCGTAATAGCTACAAATGAGAGCATAAATGGAATATTTTATATTAGTGATAAGAGGCAAAACAGAGAACTTTCTGTGCTCCTTATTTAACCCTTTTAATAGTATAACAATCTTGAAATCAGCCCAGTCATCTACAAAGAAAGAGCAGCAGCGAAGCTGTGAGAAAGGCAAGAATCTACTTCCTCCACTTCAGTCTACCTCTTGGTCTGCTCCACCGAAGCTCCCTGTCTTCTCCTTTCTTGCAGCCAAGCTGAATCAGGCAGGTTTGACACAATTCATGATTCAGCATTCCCAAAGCTAATGAAGCTAAAAACACCCCTGTGTTTCTGAGCTGCACTGTGGGAAGTGAGATGAAGGGGTGGGAGGCAGCTTGTGGCTTCTGGATTTGCTGTGGACCCTGATGCAAGCATGGTGAGTGCCTTGTGGGTTGGCCTCTTTTGGTTTTTACTTCACTAAATGTTTATTAATGGAAAGGTGATCCCAGACCTCTGAATTGCTGCGGGCTTTAGTTATTTCGCCACTAAACCTGCCCTGCATGCTACAAACCTTTCATTATTCCTCCTTCCCTGCCATGAAAATATCAGCATTTTTTATGTTTGGTTTAGTTCATGACCAGAAAATTTGCAAATCTTCAATTTGCAAGCCATCAGAGGTCCAGGGACAACTCCATGAAACATCGTTCAAAAATCCATAGCCAGTTTTAAGACGTTGCTACACTGAATGCTTTTCTTATGGAATTTTTAAAGGTTGGCAAATTGACCAAGATTGTTGGAAGTGCTTTAGCACAATACACTGAACACAGAAGGTCATTGAGGCTAGCCCTTTTTTTCTTCTGTGGAATACTTAAATGTATTTGATGTACTACAACTCCTCAGCTTGTAAGTCCCTGAATTCCTTTTAATTAAACAGTGCCGTCCACCTTTGAAGAGTCCTGTCTGTACCCTAGTGCTTTCAGAGAAGTGATGCTGACATAAAAATACATCTTAAAAGTTACTGAAAGCATTCATTGATCCTCCTCAAAGAAGATGTCACACTGGTAGCACTGTGAAACTGCTTATTAATTGCCCACTTGTTTTTTGTTTGTTTGTCTTGTAAGCCTACCACACTGTTATTAGTTCTGTCTAATACTGGATACCAAAAATCAGTTTTAAGGGAAGCCTGGCAGAGTGGTGTAAGGAATTTTACATGGAATATGACATATTTGCTCTTCTTAAAGTAGTTATTATATTTTCTCTGATAACAATCAAAGTGAGAGGAATGTATGCTTACCTTGACACATTACACAGCTAGACACAAACCCAATATTTAGCACACATAAACGTACAGCTCAAGAGAAGGAAAAGAAAATGATGCTTTAAACTACTATTTGATAAGGCATCCCTTGGGACACATTTTTTTAAAAGCTATTGCTTTATAGTCCTGAGGTACGCTGAATATCTGGATTTCTTGCTCCCGAAAAGACAAAGATGACAAACCTTACTATCAATTTCACTGCTCCCCAGAGCAGACTGGATCACGTACAGCAATGCATCCGTCAGGCCATCACATTCCCTCATCCTTCTGCGGGCCTCCTCTCCAGCAGAGCTGACATTCCTGTAAGGCAACAGCAAAGGTTACCACCTGCACAGCTTCTGTGCTCACTGCCCCTCCTAAAACATTCTCACAATTAACATCAAGCTACAACATTTGCTTTTTTCTCTTTTCATCACTTCAGAGCTGTGAATAATGAAGACAGCTGTGAATGAGCTCTGGAAATGTAACACAGAGGGGAGCAAATGGAAGGCATCAGGTCCTCCGCAAGAAAGGGCTGAGATGCCAAGCAGCATGCGCCTACCTGAGCTGAGACTCACAACTCACTAAAATTTGGAGAAGAGCTGATAATTTTTGTTGCTTTTCTTTTTTTTTCTCTTTTTTTTTTTTTTCTTGTAAAGAATGGCTTTTATATTAATGAAAAAGTGTTTTTAAATGTGCATTTGTACATATAAATAAAGCTTTGAGAAGTCTAGAAGTTTCGCGAAAAACATCTCTTGGAAACTGAAGAGCCCAGTGGCTAGGGCTCTTAACATAGAAGAAAAAATTATCAAAGCCTAACATAAAACACCTTGTTTCTCATTTTACACGAGTGCTTCTTTTTCTCCCTTTTGGAGAGAACCCTGGTGCAGCAATCTTCTCTTTATATCATTACTTGCAAGTTATTTCAAACAGGGCCAGAGGGCTTTCTGAACATCTTTATAAAAATACAACTAAAACAAAATCTAATGAATAATGTGTCATGGAATTCAAAATACTGATATAAAAAGACAAATATGTATGATTGTGTATATATAAATAGAACCTGTGCTTGTTAGTGTCAAGAAAAAGTGTGAAAAACTATCCAGCAGCAGTTCTGATTTGGAAATGGGTAAATTGGCAATCTCCAATTTGGGGGCAGACATCCCTCTGCTGAGGTGCTCATCTGTTGCTCCTCTCTCCTCACTTCTAAAGTTCACACAAAGGAAGAACAGAGAAGTGTTGACACCAGCCCTAACTGCCTAGTATGAACATCTGGAAATGGAAGAGAAGACACTGGGCATTTCATTCGGGCAGAGGGCAAGGCACTTTCTTCCCCTCATACCATGTTAAATTGTCTTGGTATTAAAGACAGAAAGAAGATGAGAATCTTGGGAGAAGAGAATGACTTTTAGGAGGAAGGTGAGAGAACTTAAGGTCTCCTTTCAATTCTTTGTATAGTTTTTCCTGTTCTGCCTCCTTGACATCTAAAAGAAGTGTTTCTATTCCAACAAAGCACCAAAGATTTTTTTGGATCAAATACATACACCATTTTCCAGCTATATTTGCATCCCCACAATGACCTATTTAGTCCTGCTCTCTTGCAAGCTGCCCCAACTAATTCAATACTGTTCCCTTCATGTATGCATGGAAAGCATAAAGCCTAGAAACTGTAACCAGAACAAACGCCTTTAACTTCCTAGCTTACAAATTCCTGCTTTCCATCCTCCTAAAGACTCCTTAGTTCTCCTCACACTGCACATCAGAAATGCCTCCTATTAAGCCATTGCTAGTTTTGTGTTGTTTCAAGTTTTGTGTGGCTTTACTCCTCTTCTAAAAGGAATGCTTTTTCTCTTTCCCTGCTGCTATAGGAGCTGCAGATGAGGAACCTTCCTCCAGTTTAGCGTGCCCTCTTCTATCATCCAGAAAGTATCAACTGGAAAAAATTTTCCATTGGATCCCTCTTTGATGTGATGGAAATCCTCTGAATTCCCTTTGGATGATGACAGAAATCAGAAGATAAAATTTCAGAGCATGCCTTTCCCAAACAGTGTGCCCCAGTAGCAGAAGACTCTGGCTTAGGAGTATTTTGAGTAGACTGTACCCTTAGTAAAGTCAGCAGCTTTGCCTGTAAGTACAGCAAAAGCAGGAAAAGTAAAGTCAAGGATCTGAATACTAGAGATGGACAGAGGGTTGTGAAGAGAAGGGAGGATTTATAGACTTATTTAACTGGAAACTCCTACCCTCTGGCAAGATAAGGAGAAACAGAAAGAAAGCTGTATCCAGCCCTACAAGAATACTGCACAGATTATTAGTGGTGCTTTTCCTTCCAACATTATGTATATATATAATAAAAAACCCTGAAATATTACTGGATCCCTTTAAACAGCAGTAGTATTTTGCATTACCACTGTCTCTCCAGGTGTCTTCCATTTACAGTTACATACACTGTGTACAAGCTTTCAAAACATACAGGCTTGTGCATCGCTAGAAACAGAGAGGTATATTCTCCCTAATTATTTCACAGAGGTGATTTCTTCTTCTCTCTAACATGGACAAACATCACCACAGCCTGACTGGAAGCCTTTCAGCTCCTTCCCACGCTCTCTAGAGACTCCTCCTCAACAAGACAGCAGTGCAGACAACCTTATAGTCCCTTGGCACTGAGCTGTCTGCCTCATTCATTTCTAGCAAAGGAAAGAATATAGGGCCTTTATGCAGAAAGAAGAGTAGGGGCACATCTTGCACAGAAAATGCATTTCTTCTCTCTATGGAGGAAATGCTGAGTTCTGCTCCTCAGCTTATCATCCTCATTATGCTCCAGTTAGCTCTGTAATTGAAAGGTGGATACACTGAACTCCCATGACTGCTATTCCTTTTCTTTTACAAGTCTCTATACAGATTAAGCACTGTCTCTTGAACATGGCTCACGGCTATCGCAGCCCTCCCCAGATCTAGATTCCAGATTTAGATTTGGAATGGCTTAGAAAACAGGACAAATCCAACCTTCATATTAACATTTAGGCAGAAATAATTGTTTATTTAAAAATAAATGTATCGTACTATCTAACTATTCCCATATCAACTCTGTTGAAGGAAACACCCCCAACCCTGTAAGTCATTGCTGAGACCTTTCATAAAAGGGCTCTACACAATCACATTCAGGCTATGAAATTCTGCAGAAGAGAATCAAGTCCCAAGTTACTCGAGCTGACAAGGAAAGCACTCTGCCATCTTAATTTTCTTATTTCTAGTCATTAACTCAAACAAGCGGTAGTTGGCAGTGTGACAGGGAGTAAGGCATCATTTGTCATTGTAAATATACAGGTCACTGTGCAAACCTTCAACTGCAGCAACAGTTGGTAAGATGTCTCACTAAGTAAGAAAAATTGTTTCCAGTGTCAATCTCCAAACAGTTTTAAAAGTGAAACCATGTTATCCAGAGATACAATGTACTGGTTTTCACGGAAAAAAAAACAACAACACCCTGTCAAGCTTGGCATGTACCTTAGTTATTCAATATTTTTGGTAGGATTTGAGGTGATAGAAGATAGAAGGTACTAAATAATTTCTTTCTTTCATGTCATTTTTTATACAATGTTCTTATGATAAATCCATCTGACATCCAGGGGAGGGAGATGGAGATCTATGGAAAGATCATCTGGAAAGCCAGTGTGCTGAGAGACATCCTCTGTGGATACGGTACATTACAATTTTTGACATTACACCCCGTGATAGTTCTACAAATCTCAAAGACAGATCTACAGAGTTGATTGTTCTCCTTGAGCATCCTCGGATCACAGCAAGTAGTTAGACCTTTTCTGTACCGGCAACAGTTCTGCAAGTTGCAGATCTTACTGCAGCCATGTAGAATAAAAACTGAGAACAAATTATGTGTATTTAGCAAAGATGAAATTGAGACTGGTCCTCCTCACACCTCTTGATATAAAGACAAAGCATGTTTGAGCATATGTAATTTTCTTGCTATGGTGTAACGTGACATAAGAAAGGACACACAAAAGTCAATATTCTAAACTAAGTGAACTCAGAAGTTACTTTCGTTATGAATAAAAAGTATAGTTTCATTTCAAAAAGTTTTGAGTAAGGAGAGTAATTGTCACAGCCTCAATCTTTCCATCCTTCTACTTGACATAATAGCCACAAAGAAAAAAAAAAAAAAGGGAGAATTTCCCAGAAAATAGTAAAAGTTTATATGAACCAAGAACTCAAAGAATGTCATTAATGTTGTTGAAACCAAGTTTATGTTTCACTGAAGATAGCTAGCAAGGGAAAACTCCTCAGGAGAATAATGTATAATGAAGTTGCAACTGAGTGGAAAAAAACGTCCAGTAATCATTTTGAGTGATGAAACAGGCAGATTTTGCTATTAAGCACACTCATTCAGCTACTAGAAAGCCCCATATTCAAACATGTAAAGTAACTCCCTTCCTACATGCACACTTTTGTCATCAGTATTGTACCCAGAAGAGCATTTTCAGCCACCCCGACCCATCTACATATTAAACTGAATGTCTAACCTATTCAGCTATAAACATGCACTAACTGCATAACTTCCCATTATTATCAATGCTGCTGCACTCTAGAAAGAGCTTTAGTCCTGAGAGCCATCGTGCAGTCGGCATCAAGGGTGTCAGGTCTGGATGAAACTATTCCTATAAGGTGCTCTGTATGAACTCTGCACACTGCACAGGGGCCTGCTCTGAGATGAGGAAGCTAGAAACCAGGACTGCCTCAATTGCCTCCAAGTACTGAATTTGCCCTGATAACATGCTATGTGTCACCTGTCTCAGAAATCTGAGGGGCAGCAGAATGAGAGAAAGGCTGAGTAGGGTGACCAGGGGGATTGGAAGTGCTATGAAAGAAGTTGATAGATTCTGAGAATAATTCTCCTGAAGCACAAAATGATGACTCACAGATGCAGTCAGCACTGATGAAACATGTTCTTAACTTCCTGCTCATTGTTTCAACTTGGATAGCCCTTTGGAGCATGCAGGAATCCCAGAAGGTAGACTAGGTTTTATGATGCACTTTCTAGTGAACGCTGCTTTCCACCAAACACAGGTGATCTGGGACTTGTGTTGCATTACCCAGGGCTTTGCCTAGTGTCTCAGACTCACACAACTTACTGTGTGCTGTTGGCCACCAAGTCTTTGAACTGTGTGACAAGAAGGCATCTAAAGTCCATCCTCAAAGCATTTCTTTATGTAGATTTTACTCCTAGGCTCGGTTTGAAAAGTCCTACCAAATTATTTGGCAAGTTGTACCATCACCAGTGGGTACTTAAGGCATACCAGAACATGACA